GGACTTCGTTTTAAGATTTAGAACTTATTAAGTGCTGATGAATTAAATTTTAAATCGATTTTTTTTAACGGTTTAAAAGGCGAAATATTTAGGCAACTTATTTTAACTATTGAAATAAAACACTTTAACGTTTAAAACGCGATATATTAGTTAAACTTATTTGAAAATGATTTTTAACTTGCCCGACGTTTCGGATGCTTTGCGCAGCCTGGTCACGGGGGGACAAAATTAATATTTTCAAATAAGTTTAACTAATATAATATACGATTTTAACCTTGTGTTTTATTAATGTGTTCTCGTATATTTATTTTAATAGTTAACTTATATTTACAAATATATTCCTAATTTTTACCTGTTAAGTGATTTATCTGTATATACTTGCGTAAACTGCGAGCAATGCTTAAGGACCAACTAATTAATGTTTTTAAATGAAAATGTACTACGTTTTTAATTTGTCTATATATATCTGGAATTTAAGCATGACGAGTCCTGGCTTCGAATCTCGGTAAATCGATACTTGCTTGTAAATATAAACGATCAGTGAACCGGCTCAAAACTGTATTCCCAAATGCCTCCAGGGAAATCGGGCTTAATATCTCTTACAATAATTTTAATACATATAATCTCAATTAATTATATATCACATCAATTAATTAATATCAAAAAATATACATCGCGTTTTAAACCGTTAAAGTGTTTTGTTTGAAAGCGTTTTAATAAAAGAAAGATAATATGGACAGCCCTGTCGATCTAAGATCGGTCCCACAATTATAGTAATGTCCGAACTAAAGGCTTTCATCTAGCCGCCATCTTTTATTGAAAAACTCGTTCTGGGACGCATTCCGTAGATAGGAGGTCTTAGTGGGACTGCATTGACAGTCGTGATTCGATATTAAAACACGAAGCCTGCTAAAACCGTGTAAATGTTGATTTGAACACTCGCTTAGCACTTCACTACATACTATAAAACAAAGTGGCTGTTTCTGTCCCTATGTACGCTTAAATTTTTAAAACTACTAAACTGATTTTGATGCGGTTTTTTATATAGATAGAGTGATTCAAAGGTAGTGTATTTAGTATCTGTTGCCCACGACGTCGTCCGCGTCCCATCGTTTTTACAAGTTAGTCTTAAAAGATAGGCGTAAAGCGTTGTGGACATTTTTTTTAGATTATTTAAAAAGTAATCTTTCTACGATTATATAATTTCTTAATAACGGTTCAAGATGTTGAACCGTTTTCGCAGCGCACACAACGAAAGCTCCCATAGATTAAAAATTTTCCTCTTTCCACGTCATGCTCCACTGTTCCTTCTTCTTCTTCTATATTCTATGTTATATAGCCTAAAGCCTATCCAACACAAATTAAATAAACAAACCAAACAAGGAATTTTTTGATTTACAAACTACGCAATAAAATGAATTGTGCCTAGGTTTGTCTTTCCTCCACACTCTACCAACTAAGCAATAGTAAACACGTTGGAGACTAACTTTAGAACTAGGTCTTACCAACCATATGAAATAACCTAGGATATACGTGACCTCCACTATACCCCCCCCCCCCCCAAGTGCACCATAGTCTTTACTTGGCTCTTTCTGTATCTATATACTATTTCTCCTGTAATTTTTCGCCTCAAACGTCGCCGCGGGGAAAGCCAGCATCAGTACAGACACAGGTCTCTCGCAATGCCTGTGCCTATCAAAGGAGCTCATTACTGATGCGATAGCAATCTACAGACAGCCGCGCATGGGCGTGGCCGGCCCTTAAGATACGTCTAGTCATTTTGGCGAGTCATGATTGGTCTGAAGGATATGCAATTAGCTATATAAAAGGGACCCAGTTGTGTGTCTGTTTTAATGACAGACGTCGATGTTCGCCTGATCAATGTTATAATTGAACGAATGAAAGCATAAGGGCATACTATTTTTTGCTTTGGGTAAAGCTCAAATAATACGAAAACCTTTTATGGTAGTTATTTAGTCCTAGAAACGATAGAAATATAGAATAGAGTGATCAGAAAAGTAAAAAGATACAGAATTGTGTCTGGCGCATGTGGTCAGCCTACTTCTGTTGTTTTTTTCGAAATATGTCGCATACATAGCGAGACAGACATACTAAATGTATCATGAATATAAAATTTCTTGGCTTTCAATTCATATCTGAGTTTTTTTTTGGTGATCTTAAATGAAACCTTTTAAGTAAGATTCCACCGAATGAGTCAAAATTAAAATAGCTGCCCGAGCGATTTCAAGTGGAGCCCTAAGTCAACATTATATGCATTCCGGCCAAGAGTGGCTAGTGATGTCAATTTGGCTATCGATACATTTATTACAAACTCTTAGATAAAATAGATTTGAAATTATCGAAGAAAAATCACAAAGATTTTTCTTTAAATACTGTCTAGTTTAGCGTATAAATTTTAAATTGTTTAAAAATAGTTTGTTTTCTCATCGCATTATTAGAAATTGCGATTTCTATAGATATACACACGAAACAAATGGCTACCACTACTAGCGTGGCAGTTATGTCTTTGACATTAAGGTCACCCACCATTTTCAGCCCCACCGTGACCACGGCTGCTTCAAAGAGTCCAAGAAATCGGGCCGTAATTAAATAAAAAAAATAAGTTAATTAATATATCTCGTGTTTTAGAACGTTAAAAGGTTCTTTATTTAAATTCGACTTCTGCCAAGAAGTATTTGACTATCGTGGTAAATCCCCTACAGTAGATCTTCTAACAGTAGATAAAATGGCCCATTATATCCGATTTTATTTTTCTGAGCTACTCCACTGACGACTACATAAAACGTCACTGTGGTAGCATGGTGTATACTTTTAATTTGAAGACACATTTCACAAAATCTAGTTCAAACTATACTGCACCGTCATTCTAACAACCGACAGTAGTCGAATTGAGCAATTGAAGAGGCGCTGTCAAACAAAACAATTAGTTTCAAAGAGGTGGACAGTATTAATTCTGATTTAAATAAACGAATTAATAGCTGACCGTTATATATTGTCATTCTTTACTCAGCGGTAGTGAGCTGTTTTAAGTACTTTTTTAAGTAAGAGAACCAGTGTTCGATTTTTGGGGAATAAATTGCGCAAACTGGAAACTATGTAGTTATTATAAGTATATGTAGCTGTGCCAGCGACTTCGTCCGCGTAAAATACTCATTTTGGGAAACAACATTTGTTTTTGCAAACCTTCCATCTTTATAAATTAAAGCTGTTACCCACGACGACAGTCGCGTCCTCGTCAGTTTTTCGTTGGCGTTTTTCCCAGTGTTTCTTAGCTACTTTTAGTCGTATTGCAGTGTTTTTTCAATTCGAAACAGTAGTTCCAGAGATTAGTGCGTTTAAATAAACAAACATCTTCAGATTTATAGGTCATTGGTACTGATTAACATAGGAAAAACAACACAGTACACTCGTCGGCAGGATATCGGCGTTATAATCGTGGATTCAAATATCGACTTCCGTCGATAATCATCCGTGAACTGTGATAAAATTTAGGCCGTCTAATATTGTAAATGATAAGCACAACCTATCTTTACCTAGTCATTTATGCGTAAAAATTGTAGCGAATAAAATTGCATTTTTCGGGTCTGTAGCTAAATCGTTAAACGTGTTACCTAGCATTGCGATAATCGCGAGAACTCTTATGTTCCAATCTGGGGGAAACAATAGTCTTTAGGCAGGCCAGAGTACAGAAGTCTGATTAATCCGATCAGTGAAACGAACACAGAAATGCGTTCGCCCCCATGCCCCAAGAAGGAAATAGGTAACCTTTTATAAAATTGCATTTCAGTAGACGGATTCTAATATTAGGTATACATACCTTGATGAAATGAAACATCGATAAACACAGTCACATCACTAGCAATCCGCTACCGTATTCAGAATCACGCATTTGCCAGAAAATGTCAAATTCTAAAATAAACAAATGGAGACAGGTGCTTCAAATTGTGCTCTTTTCTGATCGTTAGAAAGACTTTTATTTTATTCGACATCTGCCAAAGTTACAGGTCTTCTGAGTAACTCTTCAACAAAACAAATTTTAAAATTCGTCTAAAAATAGTTTTAGACGATTAGGCGAAACCCGGATTTACCGGAAAATAAATTTATTTTCCTAAGATAGACGAATCATCCATATATAAGGCTTTTTATTATTTTCCTTTTGACTAGCAAACAAATAAACATTTAGCTACTAACCATCAAATTCTAATTATTGTCATATCTATCAATCATAATAGTTAAGACAATTTGTCCCTAGCTTCACGTACAAGTTTTATAAAAAATACTAGAATTGAAAATCTTTCCTTCATAAATAAAACACAAGTGGAACAAATATGCCACATCAAATTAAAACCTATTACTAATAACAATAGAATCATTTTCGCTTGATTTGAGTTTTAACCCGTCTAACGCGGTGTGTGGCATTCGTGTCCACGCGAAATCATTAATCAATTTTTTTTTCATTTTTTTTTATTCCATTGATTTCGGTACCGCTTGAAATTTCGTCTTCGCCACCATAATATCGATTAATGGATGAAAAATTATCTGTAAACACGCGCAGGTTGAGGTTAGCGATGTCAAGACAAGTAGAATGATGGTCCGGTGTCACATGTCAAACGATGTACCGTGTGACAGGAGCATAATGTCTAATAGTTAGTATTTTTATTTCAAATGTCATTAGTATCATTATAACGGTCAAATTTGGGCGGTCTTTACAAATTTGGAATTGGTATTATTTTTTAATTGTAAACTATAGTTTATAGTTTTATGAAAATTACGAGATTATACAAATCAATCTTTACAAAATGCCATTTCTAAGCTTTGGTGCGTGGGAGTAAGTGTTAGACTAATAATCGATCATCGGTTTACATTAGATTAAAAATCTTTTTATAAATACGAGGTTTAAACACTTAAATCGGCAAATAAATTTTGATATCCGCTTTATGTTCGAGAAAGTACGATAAAGTTATCAGACATCCACATACCTGGTTATGATAATGAGCTAGTGGATGATGCGGCATGTGCCGCATCGCCGGATGCAGCATCTCGCCCCCTCCACTGCTGCTTCCCTCTACCGCCTACGCAGAGCATTGTTCTCGTTAGGTTTAAAAATAAGCGTTTGATATAAACTACATACGAGGCTGCTAGAGGCAGAGTAGCCTAACTGCAATTCTATGACTTGACTTATTTATAATTTCATAAAAATGTTAATCTACTAGAGCACAGTGTCCGAAAATTGTTAACATGATTCTTACACAAATAATAGTACAAATTGATTTTCGCCTGAGTTTATTGCACATTTCTATTTTCTTCCTTATTGACAATCATGTATTTTTTTATTAGGCCACTCTGCTTCTAGCACCCTCATATAACAGTATTTATATTTTGTATTTATTTGACATTATCATCTCAATTAGACGGCTAGAAGAGAAAGATTCTCTAAGAGACTAGAAGGTCAAGTAAATATTTGTTCTAACGTTTCCAAATATAGCTTAATAGAAAAAACCAAAAGCGATAAATAAAAACGCAAAGAAATTATCCAACAGTCCTAATTAATCAAGTATTATGGTACTGGTATCATAAAGTGGAAAAGTACCTCTGGCTGTTCATCCTTGGTCTCTGCTTCGTCACCGAGTTCAACAAGCTGAAGGGCTTCCTCTAGCAGGTCGAATCTTGACTCCTCAGTGCTAACCAAATCACGTGGAAGGTCACCTTGGATCACGTATTCACCTGGAGACAATAGAGTTATTTTTTAGAGTTAACTTATTGACTATGACGTCACGTTACAGTCGATACGTTTTCGAAAAGTATCTATGAATGATTAGATTAGAGAAAAAACTACGCTTAATAAAACATTTACAAAACAACAAACAAACTTTTTACACATTTTTTTTTGTATCTATTTAAAATATAAAGTGCTAACAATCTAATAACAAAATATTTTTTTTTCAATATTGCCATTTCTTCAAGCTGTCATGAAAGGACTATAAAATTCAATAAAAACAAATTAACTGTTTAAAACTGGATAACAAACAATAATAATATGTTTTACGTTTTAACCCGTTAAGTGTTTTATTCTATGTATACAACTGAGCTACAAAACGCATAGGGTGACATTCTCTTGGGACTTAACAAAACAATAATTGACTTAGTCGTGTACCTTTTCAGAAGCCAACAAAACTGAACGAGTAGTGATAATCTGTTTAGCGTATCCCCTTGGGGCATTAAGGTCCAGTGGTCCGCGTGACTAATTACGCCGGTAGCGGTAGGGTTGAACATAAATCATAAGTCTGAGTGACAATTGAAAGGGTTTTTGTTCTTGGAATCGACGCGCGTTTAAGATGACATCGAGATGGTTTGCTTAGTTGGTGTGGTCGGGAGTTCTTTGTCCAGTTGAGGAATAAAACAATTTCTATAGTAGCCTATACTTACTGGATATGTGATATTGGTAGAAACCATTTAGGATGGAACAGGGAATGAAAGCCCTTTGACTTTATTTAATGTTGCTTGTGAAAAAGTTTATAAATCCTTGACACGGTTTAAAAAAGTACTTTATTACACGTACTTTTATTTGTAGAACTTTATCAATAAATTTGTACTCCAAAACTGATATAAAAACATTGTTTGATAGTAAAGACTACAAATGAATAAAATGTTATTATTGCACAATATTCACTTCTGCGTTATACGCGTACATATAAAAAAGTGTAATTGTGTCATTAAGTACTGGCGCAGGATCCAAATGTTCGGCCAAATAAATAATCTTGAAACAAGTTTATTTTATATATACCGCGTTTTAAACCGTTAAAGTGTTTTATTTAAATGTGTCCATTAAAATAAACGCTTAATTCCTTTAAAGCTTATTTTTATAGTACCTACATTAAGAATCCGTCCCGTGTCTTGTGGCGCCCGCACCAAACATAATCCCTTTAAATTATTATCATTCCCATCTAGAAATTAACACTTTAAAAGTCACACATTGTGCGGTGACAATTAGGGCATTTAAAATGCGGTTTTACGTTAATCCTCATTGTCGACGTCGGGTCTTTTCGACCGATTTTTTGTCACCAAAATATAACGGTAGCTGAAGGGTTGACAGATTTATGAGGCGGCAATTTCGCTATTTTTTTTCTGCCACTTATTATGGTTGGTAACTTTAGCAATATCATTAAACAATCCTTTTCAACCACAATTTTAATGTAGACGGTTTTTCATAGATTTAAAAATGACACAAGGGGCATAATAGCCGTTGTATGCATATTTCCTTCAAACTTGTCATCTAACCAAACACAGGTCAAGCCAGAATTTTAACAAACTTACTTTTTAGTAAAGGTCTAAAGAAAGTACTTATTGCACGTCGTTTAAGTTATTTCCAAGACGAAATTTTAACAGACCGTCTACGTATGGTCTATGGCTATCGTCTAAATATGGTAGATATATGGTAAGTGTCTTTGGCTGTATAGATTGTATAGACTATTAAATAAAACACTTTAACGGTTTAAAACGCGATATATTAGTTGAACTGTCACGGGCAGCCCACGGCTGCTGCAAAGCATCCGAAACGTGCCGTATAATTTGTATAGACTTACCTATATATCGTTAGATAAGTATAAGTGTTTGGCTAAAAAAAAAGGCTATAGTGAATATCCTCGTATGACACTAAATTTGCTGTAATTTGAAATGTGCTGTAAAAAGTATGAAACAATAAAGTATGTTTACAAATGACGAACAGTAGGGTTTTGCTGAAAATCAGTGTTGTAGGTTAACTGTACTGCAACTTATGCTTGGCACCACTGTCCATTTAATTAAATTTAATATTTCTGTAGGTAATAATTATTTTATTGTAATTACATTTATTTATTATTATTATTTACAAATTCTCTCTCAGAAACACTAAACATATTTCATAATCAAATCTGATGTTATAATTATCTTGGTACCTACCACGTGTTTTGTAGAATCTGAACTCTGTAGAATCACGACAAGACAAACAAAAATAAATTTTGACGAATCTAAATATTTTTTATAGTTTTAAAGACAATAAAGTATATTTTATTTTTATTTTATTTCGTAACGGGTAAACCCGCAATGCGTTACTAGTAACAAATCCCATCATACTAATTAAACGAAAAGAAAAAAAATATATAGCTAACCAATCAATGTTATCAACAGCGAACCACACAAGCGCGACTTAATTAGACGTTCGAAATCCAAAACAGGATTCGATTCGTACCTACGAGAGCGCGTTCTGATTGGTCGAGCGTGAAGGACGATCCAATATGGCGCGCGGCGCGTCTGCGCAAGAGTTTATTTCGGGCACCGGACGGGCCGTGTAATTGATTTTATAGGTTTTTTTCGATGACTTTTTATTATGTTACGTTTTGGAGGTTAAAAGGTACATTGGGTAGTACATAAGTAAATAACTTTGTGGTCATTTGTGCATTTTTTGTTGAAGGTATACTTTTTTGGGAGGCCGTGGGAGTTAAGTGTATGAGTAATATTATTAAATTGAGATAGGTGTATATATTAAATATTATAAGGCTCAAAAAATTACTTAATATTACGTAATTTGTTAATTACTTTTAAACATTCTGACTTTTATTTAGTTTTTGGTTCTACAACATTTGCCACTGTAGGGACTGTTACCGATTAGGTTATTTTTTTTAAATCTAATTGATTATAAACAAAATATATAGTAATCCATCTGTGTTTAATGTCACACAAGCTTAACTTAAATTAAAAATCGATTTTAGAAAAATTTTACGACACGGAAAGGTCTTGAACCGACATCCATAGCGATCCGTGCTGTGACTTCTAACCAATTGAGTTACCGCTACTCGCCACGTTGGTAGGTTTGTAATTATAATAAATAAGTAAGTAGTTATGTTAGATATAATAGTTATCTTACATGAAATCACTTTTTTGTTAGGTCTATTAATAAAATTTAAAACAGTTTTGTATATTTTCTTACAACTGGCGACAACTGCGTTAAGAGTAGGTACCTATTATATAGTCTACACATGCGTACATAGGATTGAAAAAACATTCTTAAAAGTCATATGGTCTTGTTAACGCACTATTAACTGTAGATATCAACTTTTTTCGCGTGTCTGAACTTACGACCTCTAAGTCACCACTAGATCAAGGCTAGTATTTGGATAAACATTAAATCCAACTCACATAAAAGGTCTATGACTTTCAACAATTGCTCGGTAAGTCATTGTCAAGGATGACAAGTATTATACAAAACTGTCGAAACGTTATATCTTTTAGCTGTAGAGAACGTCAACTTTTACTTTACGAATCCCGCTAATTCAGTCCTATTGTCAACGACTTATTCGATTTTCACTGGAGCATGTTTTGAAAAATCCCCCTTTTTTAACATGTTAGCTCACATCTAGAACATCTAGTATCTGTTGATTTCTGAATATCTAAAATAGGACGACAGGGCCTGAAATAGCAGGTATTTGACTTCCCATCAATTAATGCCTGTCCTTCTGTATCATATAAATAGCTTTAATTATAAAGAATATGTTTTTCTAATTTTTCACAAGTTAGATAAAGTTGGCTATACTGCTAATTTATATTATTATAGGCTGAATAACTTGTAAGGTGTTAATAAAATTGTGTAAGGCTTTCGCGGCCATCGTGCAGCATATTATTGTTTTTCGCGCTGTTCCGCCGACGTGAGCGAGAAGAGGTTCTCGACGTTTCACCGTCACGAACAGCATGGCGTCATGAGAGATGGCTCCTCGATGCCTCGAACAATTAATTCTTGGGGGGCCGGGCGGGGGGGGGGGCGCCCCCCCCCCCGGCCCGGGGGGGGGGGGGGGGCGGGGGGGGGGGGGGGGGGGTATGTTGTTTGGAGTTGATAGTAAATTTGACTTACATTAAATAATTGAGTCTACACATTTTTCATATAAAATACTGATAACAAATACATTGTAACAACAAGGAAAAGTAATTGTTATTCTAGCAGCATCTATTTTAATTAAGGCCCTCATGGCTTAAATTGAATTCAATTGAATTTCCCCAGTGGTCAATTGAAAGGGATGTGCCGTATATAAGTTGTATGTTATATCCACATATTATCTTTTGATTTATATCAATGTAATTGCTTAAATTAACGATCTCAATTTAATTCAGATTACTATCACTTAAAAATTAAAGGGCAAAAATTCATATATTTTTGTATTAGTTATTACTTGTATTGTTTTTTTTTTTCAATCAAAAACTACGAATTAAACCGTTTTATTTAAATATAATATTATATTCAAACTTCTATTTCATAATAAAGATTGTTTAAGTTACATTGTATTGTCAAAAACCTTTTAATATTTTTCTATAATAGCTATGCCATCAATAGGAGTAAGGAGACAGTTCTAGATACCTACCTACCCAAAAAATATGTATAAAAAACGACTCCTGTTTAAACGATCAAAAATATCCGCGTATGTCTATCTTTCAAAATTAACTTGCAAGAATGACGAGGATGTGTGTGGGCGGAAGTGGTCGTGGGTAACCTATAATTCAAAAACATGTGGAAGAGGTTTGCAAAAACAAATATGCTATCAAATACCTATTCTACGCGGACGAGTCGCGGCCAGTGTATATAAGAGGCAAGCCTTAGGACCCAGCTAGTCACGGTGGTAACGTCAATCTAGAGATGCAATATTAATCGTGATAAATGTGAAACGACAGCGATCAATCAGCTTTGACGGATCAAATGT